CCCCCAGCAGTTCCAAGACAAGACTTTCTGTAGTAGTTGCTTGCTAACAGCACACCTCCTTTCACCTCAGTTACCTCAAGAAAGGCAGATCCTGCCATTTGTTTAGGAAACAGAATTTTTGCTTATTTCTTCACATTCCTTTCTTTCCCAACGGGAAAATACGGGGTTTACAACAAAAATGAAAATACACACACATAAAAGTCCAAAGTTACGTGCATAAACAAAAGGGGACTTTCTGTTGATCAACTTACTGTATGAATACTTTGTCTCTTTCTTAATTTCACCATTCTCTTCATATTCCCTGCAGAGAAAAGGAGTGGGATGAGAACCAAAACAGTGCACACACACCCCTGCTCAGGGCAGAATACACTTTACAAATAGAATGCACAGACAGCTCACTGGCAACACAAACTTATCTTTACAAGTAAAGTAACTCTTCTCTGAACTCCCTATTCTGAAGACACAGATTCTCTGTACAAGGAGAAAAGTGCAGAAAACTGGAGAAAACATACTTTTGTATGACACAAAAGACAGTTGGAACATGAGTTCTGTAGAGTCAGACGTACATAATAGCTAATAACTTTTATACCACTGTCAGCTGAATTATTATTAATAAAAAAATCCCCTTAAAAAGGTACCTAGGCTCCAATATTGCCTATTATAAACTAATCTGAGCGTCTCTCAAGCAACTAAATTTTGCAGTTTACTTTCACAGCTAGAAATTAATGTTGGCTTTTGATTACTGAGGATAGCAATCTTCTAAAAATCAAGAAATTATGTCTTGGTTTCAGTTTGCACATGTATGAAATACCAAAGAAATTAAGAGATTCCCCTCATAGTCACATGCCAAAAAGTCTCAAGTGTCCACAAGTCTGAGAAAAGAATCTGACTTCTAGATTTAATGGGATCCAGTAGGATTTTTTAATTGCTTTAAAATAGTCGAGTGTATGTTAGGCTGTAGGCATCAGCCAGGCAGTTTTTGGGTCAATGGGTTTATCAGAGCTTATTCTGAAATTCATAACTGAAATTGTTGAGTTCACTTTTCTAAAAAAGGCTAAAGAGCCCTTTGGGAGATTAAAAAAAACCACCAAAACCAACTGACCAACAAAAAAACCCCAACAAGTAAACTGTGGTCGTTGTGGAAGAAAGGAAGATAGCCAAGGGAAAACATGCTGAAGTTTCTGGATTCAGCAAAAATCTTCTTGTATTTCCTTTTTGAGGACAGGGAAAAACTTGGCTTGAGAGTCCATGAACAGATTTTAGAGAATGGCAGCAGGACAGGCTTAGCAGATGCATGGGAAAAAAAATGAATTATGAAGTTCTATTTGAAAAGATTCAGGACCAAGTATTTTGAGACAATGGTTTTGCTTCTGCTAGCTAGCAGGGAGGGAGTATTATGAGGGTGGAGTTACAAAATTTGTGATGGGCAGAAAGTACGTCAATAAATAAATAAAAGAAGCTTTAGGAACATTAGAAAGGATAGAATTCAACTGAGTCTATGGGAAAAACATGAGGTTTGGTTGGTGGTTTTTTCCCATACACTGGTAAAGATCTTTGAATTCCACTGACAACACATATGATAGAAAATAGATCAATGGGCTCTGAGGTGGCCCAGCATCAGACAAAAATAATGAAAACAAAAACCCACAGCTGCAGCACGGAGGCCAAGAAACCCCATACAAAATCAGAAAGTGGAAACATTTGATAAAAGGCCTTGGGTGTTACCCAAATTTTAACAGATGCAAATTCTGAAGCACTGACCATCTCAGACCTAACATCTCCAACGAAATTAGTGTGACTCTAAAAAAAGCCAAGAGCTCTAGAACTCTCCTGCCATAAAGACTTTTTTTTTTTCTTTGGGGAGAAAAAAGTGATGGGATCCTGTTAATACAACAGCTTTATAAATAACTTAAAGATTACTTTCACTTACGTGGAATCTTCATATTCTACCCATTGGTACATTTCAACGTTACGCTTAAGTTTGACAGCCTGGATGGTGAGCCCATAGCTGGGATCAAACAAAGGCTATTTGAAAATTAAAAAAAATACAAGTCAGTATAAATGCTGTACCTTACAAACTCAAAGACTGTACTTTCATCATCAAACCCATTTACACACCTTACTGTACGAAGTTAGTATTACGTTACACACAGTTGAATATAGAATAAATGTTTTAAAAGACAAATAGGAGCATCTCTTTCTTTCACTGATAAATCTGACCTAAAGAATCATCATCCAAAATTATTGCCATAGTGAAGAATGAAACCAGAAATGCTGGCTAATGGTATGCAGGCTTAACTGTTCAAACCAGGGGGAGATTTTATTTCAGGGGAAGATACCATGCTGTGTTGCCTTCTACCATGCAGACTGACCACAAAAAGTGACATCGCTATCGAAAACTCAGAACTTGCAGAGCCTCTGTGCTGCAAAAGCCCGAAGACTTTATGATATCCTGAATACACAACGGGTTCCCCATACAAAGGGGGATTGAAATTACCCACCAAAGGCAGTGGGAGGGTAAACACAGCTAGAGGTAGCATCTTGCTGGGGAGTAGGGAGACCAAGGCTGTAGAGCATCTCCCTGATTTGGGCCCAAGAAAAGTCTGGTAACCAGCAGTGCTTACAGAGGAGGAGAGAAGCTACATGTCTTCCTCCTGGACATCAAACATCATTTTAATTGGCAAAGACCTTTCCTTCTCCCCAAGCTTGAAATACTCCTATCCTCAAGATGCTACTTTACTTACCTTAGATGTACTCAGAGCACCAGCTAAGTGCACCAATCTCCCTTCATTCTGCTGAGACACACTGTGGATGCTATCAAGAGGGATCACAAGAGAAAGTCCCTCATCAAGAGATTTGGCTGTCCTTAAAGCTCGTCCCTGCCATCAACAAAAACAAAATCAAGTTGTGGAGAATCAATGGTACAGCAGTATTTTGTGAAAAAGGTTAGCAGACAGGTGAGCTGAAGCTCACAAAGCAGCCTCAAGACATATTCCTGAAACATGCTTTTACTTCTACCTCTCTTTCTCTGTCTGACCGAGTTTGGGGCAGTACTTCTAACCCATGCAGCCTGACCATTAACACTAAGCTCCTCAAACACACAGAGGTTATTCCTACAGGGGTCTAAAATTATTGCTCTTCACCTTTGTGTTGTTCGTTGGTCATGAGTAACTGCAAAAATTATGTCAATTATGGTCCTTTTTCCATAGACACATACTTGGCAGAAGTTTTCCTTACCTTACCATCATGTTATGGTGTTGCTTTTCCTGCAAAGTCACCAAAACGGGGAGCAGTTCTCTTTCCTCTTGTAGAGGTATAAGAGGAAGTCTTAGGTAAAAATTCACAGAACTCTGCTCCCGCACTCCATAACTGCCAAAAGCATGTACCTTTGCAATGGTAGGGTGTTAGGATTCCCTGCTTACTTCCATTATTTTTTCAATCTAAAGCCAAGACATAAAGTAACACTGAGAATAATTAACACCCTCCATTTCACAACATAGAGCATGAATTCCTTTAACACAATTATAACAACATTAGCAATGAGGACCCTGTGTTATCCCAAGAAAAGACGACGTCTGGAACATGGCTGGCTTATACAACCCTCCTTCAATAATACTACAGCCTGTTTCTGCATCAGCTCACAAGTTGTGGATCTTATCTCTCATCATACACTGCCACTGCCTCTACCATGCTCAGTTCTATAGAAACACTATTGATCAACCTGTGATTTCATTCTTCTGTTACATCCCAAGCACAAGCACCAGGCTCTCCAGTGTCCTCTTCTCACAAATGAAGTAATAAGAGCTTTGACATGACCATTTTATTAAGCCTATAAATGCAAAACTAGTTGAATCTCACCTCAGGTGTGACATCTTAAAACTGTGCACAAACACTGACAGTATTTTACTTACTTCATTAGTAAAAAGAAGGTAGAAAGACAGAAGAAATGTCACAAGTCCCATCAACATGCCTCCAGAAGTCTCGCTGAGCCTCTCCAGGAACCCTGGTTTGGACTCACTTGTGATTTTAACATGTTCTTTTCTGCTGCCTGTGTCAGAGAACTGTTGGAGAGAAACCAAAAAAAGCAATATAGGTGTAAAAGGGGAAGGCATTCTCTTTCCAAATAAGCGTTTTAGCTTTGTTAATACTGCTGCTCTACAGAGTAGCACCTCCTGCCTTGGACCAAAACCTTCCCACACTTATTAAATGCCGAGGCCTGTGGGGCGGCCTGCCGCGCGGGGAGAAAGGGCCGCCCTGCAGCTGGTTGTGGAAACAGCCCCGCGAAACGGCCACAGCTGAGCGCGGGTGAGCCTCGGGGCTCTTATTTTAGCTCGCCAGGCTTTGCTGTGGCTGAGGAATGCGGGCATGCTCGCTGTTGCCGTGCGGAACGGTGCCCTCCCTTAGGGGCTGCGTTTCTGCCGCCTTAGCTCAAGTGGCCGGAGGTGGTCTTTTTAAAGTGAGTTTTTTTACCTTTTTAAGGAAAACATGGTAAGTGGACAGCGTAGGTAGAGTGTGAGCTTCATGTTTCTGTATCTGTACAAAGCATTAGGTTGTACGGGTTGTGGTATTTATGAAGTTTGACCACTACATATCCTGGGGGATATATTTCCCTCCTCGCTTTAAGTAACGTGAAGTGACTCGGATGTAAAGTTTCCAACTGGAAAAAAAGCCAATAAGTAGATCTAAATGCCATTTTGAAGTTACAAACTTTGGCACGCTGAATGCTGATTATGAACTGGCGAGGTAGTCATGTCCTATGAACCTCTTTGCTTTATGTTTTTATTTATTTAAAGAACAACTTGGATCTCTGCAAGATCTGTAAGTTGTCTTCTGGCACTCTACAAAATTTCAGTGACAGGGATTAATGTTCATATGTTTCTAGTTCCTTTTATATAAGAAATGACTGGACATTCTACCTTGTAAAGTTTGCTGGAGTACAATGCAGAGTTGACAGAAAACTTTCCCCCTTAAAAAGGGTTACATTTACCTGTTTCTCAGCCATGTATAAATGTGTATTGGTTACTGAGCAAAGTAAAGGAAGTTTGTGAACTGCTTGAGGTCTCACTGAGGGGCAAGAATAATTTCTAATATGCCGTTTTGTTATAGTGGCCTTTATGAATTTGGAGAATGAAAGGAAGTTCTTGGGGAACTTTTTTTTTTCCCATTCAACGAATACTCAGTTGCATGTTCAGAAGAGTTTCAAATAGCTGTTCTTTTCTACTTGTGTCTGCCTCAGAGTGCTTTTTATAGTTTTACAGAGTTGTTAGGAAACTTTACTCGGGTTTCTAGCCAAGCTCCCTCCCACCCTGCTACAGAATTTCTTTGTTAAGTCAAGAGTGGCACAAGAGCAGGAAGTACACTGTGGTGGGTTTTTTTGACCTTGGTAATGTTCACAGCACCTTTCAATATAGTTGGTTCTATTCTGTTAAGGTGTTCTTGTGTATTTAATTCAGGTAATTACTGTAAAATATAACACTACTCTTCATTAGATACTAGTGTAATTATTAAGTATCCCTTTGAACACTTGACTGTAATTTAATAATTTTTCTTTCACTCTTGCTTTTTTTGTCTAACGCCTTCATCCGGCTTAGTCGTGGTAAGGGAGTAGTTTGAGCTTGTTTTGAAACAGCTTTTTAACTTCACAGTTCAATGAACTGTACTGTGATCTGCAGCCATTACAGCATGTTGCTGTGAAAATTGGAGCTTTAGCAGAATAGAATTTCAGTTGCATATGTGTTCCTCTGAACCAACTGTTCTAAAGGAAGGTGGTTGATAAGTACAACATAATTAATTCTCTGTTAACATTAATGCATTGTGTTGAATATCGCATTACCTTGTGGTGTTCAGCAGGTTTGTAAATGAGTCCTGAATCAGCTTTCTCTGAACTTTTGCTTGTTGTTCTTGTATTGTAGGAAAAGACAGAATTATATTTGCAACCAAGGAGGACCATGAGACACCAAGCAGTGCCGAGCTGGTGGCAGATGACCCAGATGACCCTTACGAAGAACAAGGTCAGTAGTAAGAAAAAGGGAAGTAAGGAGTGATTTATCACTTACGTTCTAACAATCTTAATCAAGAACAACAGAAGACAAACCTTGTATGAAGTAGGAACAAATTATTCATTTTTGAAGACTAAGGGCAGTTGGTTACTCAGTAGATAAACACACAAACAGCAGTTTAAACTTGCAAATTAAGACATCACAAATTATATGGGTTTCTTCCTACAGTTTTAATGATTCTTTGGCCTGTTCAAATGTAGCTTTGGTTAGTAGCCAGAGATACCCGGGAAAAACTTCCTTTCTTTTACTAACAAAGTTAGAGCTTAACCAGTGAAAATTTTGACGTTTTCGTCACTGTTTTAAATGGCAAAATGCAATTTTCAGGGAAGCTGAAGTGTGTTACATACCACTGTCATTGATGTGAGTTGCTCACCTGCCTGTGTGCGGCTAATTTGGTGATCTCTGAATATGTGATTGAATATAAATTATATCTAACTAATCCTGTACTATACTAGTGGCAATACAATCAATAATTAGTAGTAATATCTTTCAGTGGCCCATGACAGGTAAGTTCAGATTACTCAGGTTTAAAACTATAATTATTTTGCCTTGAAAAGATGTAGATTAGAGTTTTCAGTGAAGATTGCAGTTCTTATATGAAGTAGATCTAATCTACAAATGGAGATTTAAGAAAGCAGAATATTTCCAGGATGAAGGCTTGTAATATTCTGATTGAGCATATTTTAGGTTATTTCTAATGGGTAAAGGAAATAATCTTCCGATCGTGATGATTAAATAAATTTTGCCCTAGGTTAATAGTCATCAACATTTGTTAATTTGGATTACATTTTTTTCTAATTGTCTTTATGCCTACAGGTCTCCTAGCTTCTTCACTCTATGTGAAATGATCTCATTGCTTTCAGATCAGCTGAGATTGAAGCAAACGCTTCATCTTTTTTGAAATTTTGTTATATGCAAGTGGCTCTGGGACCTTTAGAGGGCAGTACTACAGCACAGTTTAGCAGCTGGTGCACACGGGGTTGCTCTGTTAGCTGGTCTGGTATCTAGTTTAACTTGAACTATATCTTCCTATGTCATTAAAATAACTTTTTTCATACACAATTTGTGTTGAAGTTTTTGCATTTAGCTGCGTATCTTGACTTTTTTGCAACTGTATGTAGTCAGTAGCTGTATCTAAAAGTTTTGCCTGTCAGCAGTGATAACTTCAGTTTTATAATGAGCCAAATGAGAACAATGAGAGAATTTCAGAAAGGTGTTTAAAACCAGCTGTTTAGTACCTGCCAGGAATTCTTCTACCTTGTATTTTCAGGTAGTTGTTTCACCAGCTAAGATCAAATGCCCAAACTGCCTATTTGGTGGAAACAGTGTGTGCTTTGGGATTTGTCATCATTTTCACCACAGGAATAGTGCTTCAGCCCCTGAAGATTTCAAATAGAGATCCCTGCAGGCAGTAAAAGCTATGTGGCACTTAGATGTGTTACTGCCTTTGCAGAGTGGAAGATGGAACCTACAAATGATTCATGTAAAGTAATCCATCCTTTTAAGGTGGGAAACAGTGTCTGGGGGCAGCTCATTTTTAAGAGTGTTTGCTCTTCTCAGTATGTTATTTAGAAGTGAAACAAAAGAGTTTTCAACTCCTGCCTCAGGCAAATTTATAATCCATTATCGGTCTGTTATGTGAAGAGTTAGCAGCCTCTTTTCTGTGGCTGTTTCCTCTGGAAAGTCTGCGGACTGCTTGCAAAATAAGGCCAGATAGATACTCTTTCTAGATACCACATCTGTAGAACATACAAACATCAGAGATTTTATCATTCACTGAACTAGTAAGTCACCTTGCGTGGTGTACAGCTAAACAAAGCAGCTTGCTCTTTAGCTAAGTAAATACATGTATGCAGTCTGTATTGATGTTACATGTGGTTGTTTGAAGTTTACCTATCTTCTCCCTTATTCATGGTCTTTAGTGATAATTAAATATTCTATTAGTAAAAGGTGTCTGTCTAGCAACATGTGAATGTGTATTGATCCTATAACAAAGCCTCTATTTTTGACACCAGCTTTTAAAAGGAAAGGGTGCCCATCTCAGATCTAGCATAATAGAGAGACATACTGAAAAGGCTTGGAATGTGAACATAGAAAACAATTTTCTTGGTACCTCTAAAGAGGGGATTCTCTTCCTTCTGTCTCACACTCCACCTCTTTGCCCCAAATTATTATTTTTCTGGTTGTACGTATACCACAAGCATATCTTGTGCCATATATTTAGGTAATAAACTAGTGAAAATTAAAAGAGCCACTTCCTCATTGTTTAAATGCCATATTCACTAATTATGTGTAATTTGCTGGATACGGAAAGGCCGTGGTGAGGAGAGGTGAATTTTTTCCTAGCAGTCCTGTGTTTACGGCATGTTAGATCACTTGCTTCCTAAACTATAGAGCGGGGAAGAAAAGAGAGAAAGCCAGAAGCTAGTGATATTAGGGACACCTTACAGTGAAAATGTGTGACTGTGATTCAAAATTAGAAAGAAACTCTGTTTAAATACTGGTAATAAGTTTGGGTTGCGTTTTTCTGTTTTGTTTTGTTTTGTTTTTTTTTTCCCTTAGCATGTGGTAAGTTACTGCTATGTTTTAAGGCTTCTCTGAAAACTCACTTGAACAATCTCAGGCTACAGTGCATCAGATCAAAACAGAGAAACAACTGACATATAACAGAATGTAGCTGCATCTAATGGGAGTGAAATTTGTAGACAGGAAAGACATATGGACAATGTTTTGGAATACGTTGAAGTGCAGAAGCTCTGGCTTGTGTGGTTTTTATTTGAAAGAAAATTGGAAAGGGCTTTGTACATAAAGTAATACGCAGGCTTTTCTAATTTAGCTTCTACTTTGAATAGAAGACAATTTCCAGTGTTCAACTTCTGTGCCATAATTAGCTATAACGACTCTTTTCATCTTTTCTGCTGTGCTAGACACAGAACAGTCATATCTGGGAAAGAATAGATTTATTCTATAGATATACACCATAATTTGTATTAGTTTCTAATACAGCTGAAACTTTCATCTGAGGCTTTGGTTTTCTGTAGGGGCCTTTTTCATACTTAAGATAAACATGTAGTTTGGTATTTTTGAATATTGATATTTTGGATTTTGCTTCAGGCATTAATAGATGTTAGTCTTTGAGCTACCTTAGTCAGTAGCTACTCAATAAAAGTTGTGCTCTGTTTCCCTTGGGAGAAAATAAAGTTGTTTTTATTTCTATCAGTTACGAGATTTTGGTAGGCAGAATGTTAATGGCTCACTTTAAGCCAAAAACATTGAAAGCAATGAAGGCATGTGAAACAGGAAGACAGACAAACCAGGGTGGGTTCAATGTAATGTTTCATATTGCAGTGTATTTCAGTTCACTGTGTGTGCCTTTTTAACAGCTGTGGCTGATGAGAACAAATTAAGAATTAATTTGCAGCAGTTTTGAAATAGTATTCTCACTGTAAAGTTTGTTTCTGGTCTTATGTGTTGCAGATGGAAGAATTTAAATGTGAAAGATCTCTAGTTTTCATCAAGATCTTTACTCCCATAAGTTAGAATAATTTCTTGTTTTATTAGGCTTGTATGAAGAAGGTCCTGGTGAGTTTTATGCATGAAAAGTAATTTTTATTAACACTACAGCTGTGATAGGGTTGTCTAAAAGTGCTTATGGAATTGTACCTCAGACGCAGGCTGTTGCTGTCCTCTCCCTTTTCTTTTTTTTCCAGACTTGTCATCTTTTAGAGACAGTTTTGAAGTGTTTTCCACAGAGGACTGATGAAGCAAAAACCCCAGTTCTTTTAAGAAAGAACCTGTTGAATGATCAGATGTAGAGGACTGTTTTTAAGACTGATGATGTCCCTTTCAATCCTGCTTCCTATGTGTCTGTCATCTTACATTGTGATTCATTAGCAGATAAACTTGTTATTGGAATGTTTGGCATAGAACAGGGAAGAAACCTTTCTCAGAATAACAGTGGGGAATAATTACAGCCAGTCCAAAGCCAAGGGTTTACCTTAAAGGCAGGTGGACCTGCCTTCATGATTCTAACCCACCCCATCAGCTGAGAGAGGTTATCTTATCTGATGTCAGCAGTTAATTGCTAACACAAACCTTGAGCTGTAATGATGTAAACAGGAATGGTTTTTCTTCCCCAAGTGCAGGCTCAGGTAGATTATGACCCATTGGATCAGTGAGGTTCAGGCTGCATTTAAAAAGTTTTAATTCAATTTTAATTAAAAATAGTAATCCCATCTATTGCAGGCTTGTGATTCAGGGAGAGTGATGGATGAAATCTGTTTCCATTTGAATTGTGTTCTAAGTTAGCTGATACACTTACTCATAGAAGTGTGCATTCTGCTCTAATTATCAGTGAGGAAATGTTTGTTTTATCTGTATTTTTGTTCTACTTTTTTTTAAAAAATGGTTTGTGTGCATCTAACATCCAAAACTGGTGCTATTTCAGTGATCAAAGAGGTGCAAGTCAATGCTTACATGATATACGAGAATGTATTGTTTATGAGAACTCTTACATTGTTAAGTTTGCATGCTTACAGGGCAGTTCTGCTTCTAAAAGGAACAATTTATTTAAAGATAATTATTTACAAGTCATTTTATTGCTGTGGTGTCTTCAGGGACATTTCAGAACTTTTTTTTTCTTTTTGAAGTATTAGAAAAATGACTGTGAGGAGGAACATAGGACTTCAAAATCTAGGTGACAAAGCAAGCCATATTTTTTCTACACGGTATAGTCAACATTTTTCTGCTTTGTCGTTCTTGACAATAAGGAATCGGGCACCAGCCATCCGTTTCCTTGTTTGAGAAGTTCTGCTTTTCTTCCAGGCAGGTAGTGATGCCATGAGGCACTGTACTAGGCATATCTTCTCAGTACAGTGATTATTACAGATATTTTACAAAACCATCCTGCTGAATAAAGCATGATCTGTGAAAAATGACAAGGTTACTGTAGGTGACTGAATCATGCTAAGGAAGCTGTTGCTTTCTGTAATGAAAAGGAGACTGATCAACACTGAGATTTCACTGACTGTAATTTTCTGTTGAACTGCATTGACTGAGTTAGAGAATATCATTGATGAATTGCAATCAGAGCAATTTTTTGTCATTCCTTTTAATATAGCGATAAATATGGTTGAACCGTTCTTGCTGTACCAGTACATAAGATACATGATACTGTGGCCTAATGTCCAAGGAATTGCTAGTGGGAGTGAAACGTACACCTGGAACTTCATGATCCCACAGGACAAAGGAAATAACTAGGCTTATTGAATTCTGTGGCAGTATTTTAAGCAACGTCAAGTTACCTCAGACCCTACAGATAATTTCATGTTTGAATTGGAATTAATGCAAATTTATTCTGACAGTGGTATTTTCATACCTGCTTCTAAAGGGAAAGTACTTGAACTTCAGGCTTATGCATGTTAGCTTCTGCAGAAACTTAACCTGGAGGTGAAGTGAGGGAATTCTAGAGAGGAGGAGAACAAACTGTTAAAGTGGAGAAGAAACCAGCTTGGATCACAGCACAGAATTTCTCTTGTTCTTAGTAGATGAACATAACTATGTGTATGTTCGTGCAAAGTGGAGAAAGGGAATGGAGACTCTAGAAGCTTACACGACTTAAGCCCATTACATGATGTTTCTATACCTTCTGTTTAAAGGTTTTCTAAAACTTAGAGGAGATGAGTTCTCTGGCCTGCTGTTTGAACTTCATTGTGCAAATCATCTGATGTCTCAAAGAATATATGACTGCTTCAATCTTCACCTTGCTATTCCATCACTGAAGTATTTCTGTGATGACTTCAGCTGTTCCAGAGCAGAAATTTACAGTTTAGAGTAAAAAATGAGACCTAACTCACTTTCAGTTGTGATCTAAAGTGCAGTTTGGTTTCTGGCAACCAGATGGGCTGGCATGTCCTCACTATTCCTTGTGTGCTGTGGCATGTGACTTAATCTGTGTCTTACAAATAAACTGGGTTTGTTTTCATAATTCTGGTTTTCCAGTTCAAATTTTAAAGGGGAAAGTTGTGTATTAGTTAGTATTCCAGAGTTCATTTAAAACAAGAAGAAAAACACACTGTGAGAGTGGGGATACAGTTGTACAGGTTGCCCAGAGAAGCTGGAAGGCTTCAAGGCCAGGTTGGACGGGGCTTTGAGCAACCTGGTCTAGTGGAAGGTATCCCTGCCCGTTGCAGGAGGATTGGACTAGATGATCTATAAGGTTCCTTGCAGCCTAAACCATTCTGTAATCATCCATCCAACTTGATTTAAAAGAATTCTATTCTTAATACTGGATTTAAATTCTTAAGACTTATTTGACACAATTTTAAGGCTTGCTTATTCTCCTGACAGGGAGTATGGCAAGTGGATTGGCTTGACTACAATTTGTTTTGCAGCTTCCTTAGAATATTCTCAGTGGGCTGTAGTCCAGGGAGAAAGATTTAATTCAAGCACGGATGTAGAACTAATCTCACTTGTGCCCAGTGAAGGATTCTACAGAGCAGAGATAGAAACAGACTGGCCAGGAAGTGAAGTGTGTTTAGCACCCTTGAAGCTACAGAGCTAATACAGCGTTGTTAGTACTTCAGCTTACACCTCCAACCCAGCAGCTTTCACTGACTGAAATCCAATTTTTGGAAGGAGCGCTTAACTTTTCTTCTCTCTCGTTTGTTCAGGATTGATATTGCCCAATGGAGATATCAATTGGAATTGCCCGTGTCTGGGTGGAATGGCTAGTGGTCCCTGTGGGGAACAGTTCAAGTCAGCCTTTTCTTGTTTCCACTATAGCACAGAAGAAATAAAGGGATCAGACTGTGTGGACCAATTCCGCGCCATGCAGGAATGCATGCAAAAATACCCAGATCTTTACCCTCAAGAAGATGAAAATGAAGAAAAAGAGAAGTCGAGCAAAGATTTGGAAGCTACTCCTATGGAGGCTTCTGCTGCCAAAGAGGAGAAGGGATCTAGCTAATGAAGACACAAGGAGGCTGTTGTCTCCGTTTCTCATTTTCAAAGACATGGACTTTTGCAGTATGTCTGAGTCGTCAAGAAATGTTTCTATACACTGTATTGTAGTAAATAATTTATTGCTGAAGAAAAAAATCTCAGTGCTACAGCCTTGCAAATAAATACTGCAAAAAGAACGAGTATGTGTATGTACTGTGTAATCTGCTATCAGACACAGTTAATACTTTAACAACTGTTCTTTACCTTCAAGTTCTCATTGAGTTTTTACTTGAATAATGTCTTTAAAGATAGAGCTTTCCACTAAAATTCCACTAGCACACCAGGTCTGTCTTCATTTCAGTATGTTCTGATCAATAGCTGCTCTTTTTTTAATTAATTCTGTTCTATTAATAGAAATTGCATCAAATGTTTTTTTTTCCTTAAATTTCTTGCCAGAGTGATAAAAGACATTGAAAATGGCCTAAGTCTAGAATTTGTAAAATAATTTCAAATAGTTTTATTGGATTATGGTTGCATTTTACTGTTGACATCAGGTAAGGAGTGCCAGAAAAATGTTGAAATGTGTATCTCCTTTGATTTCATCTACTTACTGTGATGGCTTTTGCGTTTTTAAAAATGGTGTGTAGATAAATGGAAGGAATGTTGGTCACTGGCTTCATTTCTGCTCCGAAACCACAGGTTTTTGGTTCCTTTAGTGCCTGCTCCTTCAGTGTATACACAGGTTGTTGTAAAATACTTTGAGAATACAATGAAAATGTTACCTGGTGTAATGATCACAAAACAGATACTGTGACTTAAGTGCATATTAAAAAGCAATTACTTTTTACCTTCATTGAAAGCTTCTGTGTCTTTGTGATGTGGTTGTTTGTTGTTTTGGTGGGGTTTTTTTCTTAATACTGTTTGGATTTGGGATAACTCCTCTGCATTGTAAGCAGAGTTTGAATCGATTTGTGGGTTGTGAAGATCGGTTGCTACAGCTTGTCAGATTTTTATTCTTGTCCCATTCTTTTCTCCGCAGCCTCAAGCAAGAAGGCATAAAAAATGTAAAGCATTTTTAGTAGCTATAGTAGATTGGATCATGAACCAGCATGACAGAGGGCCTAAACAGCTATTAAAATATTTGAAAATTACTTTCAAGGTACAAGTAATTTAATATTCATAGTAGTTTAATACCTGTGGATAAAGGAATGCTACACTGTTTTTCTTTCCTAGCAAAACGTGGGCTGTGAAAAATGTATTACAAAACAAATTGTACCTGTGACTTCAGTAACTCTTCATTACAAGCTTGTTTGGCTTTTTCTCTCTTTGTGTTGGATAACTTAAATTTATACAAAGTTGTAGTGGCAATAATGCAGTCCAGTAAACTGTTGCCTGTCTGGGCAGCAGTCTTGAGTGCTCAGCATGGTTGCTTCCATATTATGTTTTGGTATTTTGTTTAAGTTATTTCAGTGTTATTGATGATGCTTCTGAATGTTTGAGAGCAATTTCTGTTAAATTTTACAGTATGTTTGAGCTGTTTATATTTCAGTACAGCTGTTGGATTCTCAAAATAAAGAAAAGGCAAGCTTTTAACAGAAACTAAGTGTGACTCTTTCAGGCATAGGAAGACAAATGCCAAGTTAACCTGAGTAAATGGGCACAGAAGCAGCAGTGATAAACCTTGGCACTTAGGCAATTGGACCATGAAAATCAGATAGGCAATCAGATAAACACTGGGCACCAAATACAAAAAAAAAAAAAAAAAAAAAAAAAAAAAAATCACATGCACCCGGGCTTTTGGTTGTTTAAATGGAAATCCAATGCGTTATTTGTGAAGAAGCAAGAGCCATTTGTGAAGGAGTGCTCTGTTCTAAGAATGGTTTGCCTCCTATTATTTTTCTGCTGTGGTTTTCTTTCCCACGTTGCCTCAATGCTCTGCAGGTTTTGAATTTATTCTCTGTAACAGTATTTACAGCATATGTGTACAAAACATAAAATGCAAGAATCCCAGTCCTACGGTAGCTAGGGACCTGAACCTAATACTGACAGCGGGAACTCGCACCATATAATGTAACATATTTGAAGGTGTGTTTAGGATGGAGTTGCTTCTTTCTGACTCACCTGTGGCTTGGTAACGTGTTGTGCTAGACCAAGATATGGAATATGTATAAGGGCCTCACATCAGAAACTGAAAAACACCCTGTAATGTGTTTGAGGTATTTGAAGAAAGTCAGTCATAGCTTTAATCCTAAGGAGGTCTTTGTGGAAATCATCACTTTCTTTTCCTCCTAACCTTGTCAAATTAGAAACTAGCATAACTGTCATCACTGCATTTGTGTTCTGGATAATCCCTTAAAAGTGGAAGTGATGTAATTTGCACCAAAAAAAAAAAAAAAATCAAGTCTCTCATTTCCTCATGTATGCTTTTTTTTTTCCTTCCCCCCCTCCCCCTTTGCTTCTACTCCTGCTGTGCCAGCCTTTTTTTACCATTAAAAACTTAAAATATTAATAGAGATTTGCTTGACAAGGAATTAGGGCTATATGGTGAAACACAGAGTCCAGTCACTTCTGTTTGCTGGTTTAGTTCTTAAAGTACATTTCTTGCCATGGAATTTGTATTTTGCTGTGTTAAGAGAAGTAAAAGGCAGTCAGCCTCCTTCTGGATTTTAAGTTCATGACAACCATGGAATGTAGCTTGAATTTAGAGAAAAATTAGGAATTGGAGGGTTGGTCAACACTAAATACCTATTGCCACTTCCTTGGACCCATGAAAGTAAAGAAAGAGAAGCTATTCAGTGTGGATTCTGCAGCTGATTTTTATGCCATTTTAAGGTCAAGTTGTCTTTCTTGACCATTATATATCCCTTGAAAGTATTACAGATTTTACATGGAGAATCTTTTCTATCTCGTAAAAGTAGACTTATTTTAAGTCTAGATGTATGGCGAAAAAAAACAAATTGGAATTTTTTTTTTTGCTATGTAAACTGCTATGCAGTTCTCTATGTGATGATACCTTTCTCACCATTGCTTTGTTTACATGATTTTCCTCTTATAGTTGCATGCTCCCATTTTAAATCTAAAATCAATTGGTGGTTATTTTAGTATGTAATAACAATGATAAAATGATCCCTGGTAATATGTGGCAGGCATGTGGAATAAGCAGATGATAAGAATTGTCTGGATACAAAACTTAGAGCTGCATGTTGCTGTCTTGTTCTAATGTGTCTCTCTTTCTTCATAAATAATGATTCTTGGGGAATAGTAGATTCAAATGTGTTTGAGAAATTTCCTGCGTGGAATAATTTTGTAATGATTTTATGCATTGTATATCAGGTGCTTTTCTATGTCAAGTCAAAATTAGTGATCGGTGAGGAGAAGGAAAGCTTTCAATATGAAGTAATTGCTCTTATTTAATTCTGTGCCTTTTGCTTGATCTCTGTCCTGTAAAAACTGATGTGTTGAGTGTGATTAAATGTTTATTAGAGTTTAGATAAAAGGATCTGTTAACAAGGTTTGAAGCACTTCTAGATATAACAGAATATGGGTTTGTGCTGGTTTTGGCTGAAGTAATTTTCTTCACAGTAGCTACTATGGCTACACTTTGGGTTTGTGCTGGGAACAGTGTTGATAATACAGAGACGGTTTAGTTATTGCTGAGCAGCCTGGACACAGTCAAGGCCTTTTCTGCTCCTCACCCCACCAGCGAGGGGCCTGGGCGGGGGGGCACAAGAAATTGGGAGGGGACACAGCCAGGACAGGCGACCCCAGCTGACCAAAGGGGCGTCCCAGCCCCTGGGGTGCCATGCTCAGCTTATACAGCTGGGGGAAGGAGGAGGGAGATGGGGGACGTTTGGAGTGATGGCGTTTGTCTGCCCAAGGAACCATTGGGTGTGCTGGAGCCCGGCTGTGCCGGAGATGGCTGAGCGCCTGCCTGCCCGTGGGGAAGGAATTCCTTGTTTAACTTGAGCGCGTGGCTCTTGCTTTACCTGTTAAACTGCCTTTATCTCAGCCCATGAGTTTTCTCACTTTTACTCTTCCCGTTCTCTCCCTCATCCTACCGGGCAGGGAGTGAGCGAGCATCTGCGTAGGGCTTTGGGGTTAAACCATGACAGTTTTTAATACAAATCACTTAGCCCAGTGACATGCAGATACAGACCTAACTGGATTTTGTCCATTTAGTTTTTAGAATTAACAAAGGTAGTTTTAACTGTATTTGTCCTACAGACTCTTATCATTGCTCCTAAAATACTGCCTTGTACAATATTTCTATGTAATACTTGCGTTTTCCAGTTTTAATCATTCTTTACTTGTTACACACCCTTGTAATTCTGGTGTTAGCGCAGTGGTGAAACAAGGCACAGCTTTGAAGGCTGGGTAGGACTTATCAAGTGGCTGGAATCCCTGTACAATGCAGGCCACAAATTCATACATAAGTTTTGATACCTTGTTAGGGTGGGGTTGCTCCTGCAGTCAGCTTAAACTTGAATCAGTGGAGCATGTGTCCTGATGCAGGTAAAGATTGCCTATAAAACTTGTCTCTTATAGGTGATTGTTTTAAACACAAAATACACTCTAAAATACAGTGAACTACTGAAAAGTAGTTTAAATTAGATAAAAGTTGCATTTACAGAATGTGTTTAAAAGTTACTCATTGATTTTTTTCTGCTTTTCTCTGCAGTACAGCCCATCTTCATTTCAAAGACCTAACTTTAACTTATGGTTAGTAACTTTCCTAAAGATGTGATCTTGCTTCAGATATGACAATGACCTTTTTTTCCCCTTCTTCCCTGCAACAGCAATGATGTACGCAATGGTGTCTGGAGGGAGATGTTTATCTTGCAGTTTATTCTAAGGATTGTTAGATCTGGGGATCTGGCAGGGTGTGTTGGAAACAAGATCTATATCCTATGCAGTTTTTATTGAGAATGTCCTTGTTAAACTTTCAGCGATGTCTCCTGTTCATCTAAGGCACTTATCTGATCACATGTTAATGAATCTCTTTGAGGAAAGTTGTTACCTAAATAGGTAGAACCTACTTTCTTATTCCTAGGGAAGAAGAAAAAGGATATTATATGCTTCTTAGACTCTTGTTTTACTTCTCATTAAAATTCTAGCAGTGTTAGTGTGGGACAGTGTAGAGAAGCTACCAGCAGTTTGTCATTTATTCTTAATCAGCTCTATTCATTGGACATGACTTCATTTTGTTGAACAGCACCAGCCTGTCTGCAGTTGTTTTTCAACTGCTTTTAACCCCTCTGGAGCTGATGGTTTGTTAGTGGTACTGAGAACCTGAGAGAAGACCCTTGCAATGGAGGAGGAGTGGAGAGGTGCAGCAATAATTATAACACCAATGTTAATTCTTTCTTAGTATTGCAAGGTAGTACCTAATCCGGTTCATGGATCAGTGTGAAGTTATTTAAAATGTCAAACTAAGTAATTTGGCTGTGAGTTCATAGCTAGAGTATGAGGTTCTCAAGGCCTACCTGTTTTTCTGTTTTCGTGCCTTGCATCCTACAAATCAGCTCTGTGTGAAGGAGCAGTTTTAGGACCTAGTCCTAGTAAGTATTTTTTAGATCTCACATCATAAAACTTCATATGTATGTATCTTAGGGGAGTTAAGCACATGCAAGTACCTACATGTAAGATTTTGCAGGATTGGGTTTGATCAGTTATTAAATTAACATGCCACTTACATATGTTAACTGTACCTGTTCTGTGTTTCTAATCTGTACATGTTCTCATACCACATGTACTTTTTTTTGGTAAGTTGCTCAGTAGGAAAACATGTATCACAGTTGCCTTACTAGCTAAATGCTTTTCTCTATTTGCCTGACTGTGATAACACTGTTGAAGCAAGAACCTGATGTTTGGAGTGGTTTTGGTTTATTAACTGAAAAATAATTAATGTACATGTGGTTTGAGGATTCCATAGTTTAAAATTTAAAAACAGATCCCAAACCTCACATCAATAGAAGTGTCCGAGTATTTTTAATTAAAGTTTTAAGTACAAAAAAAAAAAAGGTGCTACAACACATAACAAATAACACACTAACTTTTTCAGTCTGGTGGACTTGAGGGAGCACATCATGTGAATTATATCAATTCAGAGAAAGCTTACATCAAGCAGCATGGAAAAACTGAGACATGGTAAATGCTACAGAGAAAACTTACTCTTTATAGCAGTGAGCCACTCTCAGAAGAGCAATGCCCAAAGGTTGTGCACAGCTAGGTTTTCCTTCTTAGCTGCTTGCCAAGAGCAGAAGCTGGAGAAGCATTAGTAGCGATATGTCAGTACAGTGGAGTTAGGGCTCAGCACTCAACAATGACCCTTTAATGAACTCCTTTGCTGCCCTAAGGGTCCACATTGCAGAGTGTTCATGTGGTCTGGGATACACATGCTGCACAGCTGTTACAGCTACTTTGACCTCCAGCAATCCTGAGTTTGCTGCCATCTTAAAAAGTTGCTTCTGGTTCAAACTATCACCTGCTCTATTACAAATTTTCCACAGCTTTCCAGATAATTTTCTCATGGGTAAAGGCTTTTATTTGATCCTTATGCAGGATTTCCAAGTGATACATCATTGCTACTGCTTGATATGTGGTGGTTAGTGCTTGTGAAACGCCGTATCTGTTTGGGTGCTGTAGGGTTGTTCATGTGGCCAGTTTAAATACAGGTCCCATTTTAGACCTACTAAAAGAAGCTGTCCAGCCACTTCTGTATTGAGCAGATGCATCCTATTTTCCATGTTGGTATTCTTTGTATTGCTGTGCCACTAAGACACACAGTCCCAGAGAAGATCACAAGATATGTGATACTGTAGACGGGCCTACAAAACAATTGTGGTTTGGTACAGGAATACCATGTCTTCTATGATAGTGCTTTTAATTTACTATGTATGACCTTGTTTGCTTTTTCTGAGGAATATGTAACAGCTTCTACTAGAACACAGTTGTCATCTTGCACTGTCTTGTGCTCATCTTATTTTCAGGTACCAGTACACAAGAAAATAACTTTTTTCCTCGCCAAATTCTCATGGTGATCAAATTAAACTTTCTCATCTCTTCTTTAATCAGTAGCTGTTCTAACTTGATCTATGCAGTTCATTTCTGTTGAGACACTTATTTTCAGACAGGCTACCTGGATTGTAGCACTGCAGAACAAAGATGGAACATGGTTAACTCTGTGTGAGTTGGAATTGTTTTATTTTTTTTCTCTCAGTGAACTCAGAGATACCTGATTAGCAGAAGTAGTGATACCAATAAAAAATCAACTTCCAGTGTTGACTTGCACTAATGTGCTTTCACTTTAAAATTGATTTCCATGCTTACAGAATACCCGTTGCTCTGTTGAGCAAAACCATTAAACACAAGCTAGTAGCTGAAACAAAATGTGCAATGTTTCTAACTAATGGAGGGAATGAAGTAGTTAGCTATACAAGTACCAGCAAGTAAATTAGAGATTCCAAAAGAATGGGAAATAGAAGGAGGGAAGGAAGTTAGCTGAGTATTTTTGGGTTCCCCCACTCTACTTGCTTTTTCTGTAACGTGTGTATGCGTTGCCTCCTTTTGAGATATCTGAGATGTGTAATATATTGATGGCTGTCTTGTTTGCATACAACAGTGTTTGCATTTAGTAGTCATTAATCACTGTATTATAGCAGGCCCCAAGAGAACACACCAGGGTATCAATATTCTAGTTCCAAATAGTATTTCTACTAGTGGTAGCTAGAAATGCTTGTAAATGTTAAAAAATTACTTTCCTCCACAGAAAGGAACTACACAGACATTTACCCTCCCCACAAAATCACCAATCTGGCACAAAAAGTGGAATATGGGAGTTTGTTTTAATATGATACTGACTATAACCACAACGCATTATGTTCATCATTAAATAAGATCCCCTGCAGGTAAAATGGCCTCTGTTGAAAAGCATGTTCCTCAGCCTCGTTCTAAACCTACACTTGATTTTCATTTATTCTGAGAGGTCCTTTGAGAACAGACTGTAAATTCATGTACACATCTTTATTGATATTTGAAAGAGAACTTGTCAATCTTTTTGTTGTGAGATGATTTCTGGAGACAGTAAAGAAAGCAGTTGCTATGCTGTTAATTTCTGTAAACTGACATTTCAAATTAAGCCAAATTCCTCGGTTAAAAAGTGTTTTATTGCGTTAATTAAAGGGCTTGGTGGAAATGCCACGTTGTTGGATACCACTTTAGGTAACAACAAATAAATAATGAAGTGAAAGAGGGAAAGCAATGGAGAAGGGGAAACTTCCTGAAAAGGGGGGGAAGGAAGAAACACTGTTAATGCACTCTTGGGGAAAAAAGTGGGGCTTTTATTCTGTAACTATCTGCCTGTCATCCATTTCCAAATGAGCTGAGGAATTTTCTACTGTTCAGCCAACATGAAGTTAAAAGCAAAATGGCAACAAATGGAATGAAAGAAGCTGATTTTCCAGTTCCCAGTGATAGAGAACGATCTGATAGCCTAAGTTGTAGACTAGGACTTCCATCATTCTGCACTAGTATTAGGTTTTTCTAGATACTCTATGTGTTTCAGTGCTAAATATCTCCTCTTTCCTGAGAGCATTAAATTACAGACATGGAATAGAAACATGCAAAAGTAGCACATATACATGCTTTTTCTCCATAATCCCCTGGAAGAATAGACTGACTCTTCCTGCTTTACTTGAAGAGGGAATGTGTTCCAACCAGCTTCATTTGCTCTTGAGTCCTTAAACAGAGGATGCAGGTCTTAAACTACACTTTCCTCAAAATACCATGTTAGGGAGTGATTTAAGTAGCTACCTCTTAATTACTATAGGGTAGGGTAAAATTGATTTAGTAATAATGCTTTTGCAGAACAGAACTATTTTTACCTAGAGTGCAGATATTACCACTCCTATGCTTTTGTGGAGGGACAAATAATCCTCAAGCACAAGGGGAAGGAAGCCTATCTTCAGTATATCAACCTGAAGTGTGACCAAGAGAAATAAAGCAGAATCAAATGCCAGTGGTCCGAGGACAGTTCAGATAGCCAGGTTGCTCTCACAGGAACTACAGCTACCTCATCTAGTACATAGTCCAGCCGATCCATTTACCACCTCCTGCCTTTGTAGCATTAGAAACTCAACATTAGAGCAGCTGCTAGTTCCTCGTGTTTTGGCCCTTCCCTTAGCATTAAGGCTTTTTAGTTGTAATTACTGTGAAACCTTTGTTGTGTTACAGACTGAAGTACTAGAGCAAAGAGCAAAATGACCTTAGAGAGCAAGGGCTGGTTTTGGAATCAAGTTTGAGCCAAAGTGGTTTCTGCAGCAGACCTCAGCACTAAGCATTGATGATAGCAATGTACATCTGTAAAGGAACTTGTCCCAAGATAAGTCACATGTTAGTGTGTTTCTGTTCAGCAATGGGATTATAATTGCCTTCTAGAAAGCAACCTGTTGTATTGGCATAATTACACTCTGATGTTAAATCAATCTGAGCTCTTTTAAATACATGTTGTTTGACATGCTTGTTTAGTATTATGCCACTTGTAAAGCTGAAATAAACTGCTGCCTGTTAGTGGTCACTTATAAAGAAAACTCCAAGTAATGAATGTATTATGTAAGCAGCTTTTACATATTAATATCAGGCTCTGACCTGGAGTGTGGAAACACTAATCCATATCTTTAGTTTTGCCTTGTAAAGTGATTCTCTGGGTGGAATCAAGCTCAAATTAAGAACCGACTTGTAACCTATGTATGATGCACTAGTTAATTTTGTATGATAAGGCTGTGTGTTCTTCTGAAAAAAGTAGCCATGTCCCAAGTTTCCTGTCTTAAGCAGTGAAAGGAGAAAGGATGGTAAGTCTGCTTTCATCACTTCAGCAAGGAGCATGTTGAATGGAAACACGTGAACTAACTACACCTTTCACTGCAGTGTTACTAAAAGGCAAAGTTCAGCACTGTAATTTCTGAAGCAGAAATTATTTGCACCCAGTTCGAAGAATATCTGATACTTGTTTTCCCAAATACGCTTTCCAGGGTTTCACCAGGCTGTTCATGTTCACAAGGAGTTTGCTGGTCCTAGAGTCCTCCTGGCCTGCTATAAGATAGTCAGTACCTAGTTTTTTTAAAAAAAAAGAAAAACTTCGGTCAATAAATAGAAGAAAACAGAACTAAATGCAGAATTTCTCTATTTCATAAAGATCTGGCATGTAGCATCAAAGAAGTAAAGCATGATGTGAAAATGCAGAGTGAGGAACATAGAAATACAGGGACATAAAAATACAGGGATTTCTTTTTTCCTCGCAAACATTATTCTAGTCACAAGTCACGGAAATTAAAAAATTTCCTGGAGGGCTTTGGTAAAACTTTGTTCTCTGATAAGAAAATGCTTTTTACTGCAGCTGTCTATTGTCTCCCTCTTTGGTGTGGATGAATCGAAGGACTCTGCCCCAGAAAGGCTGATGGGAAGTGTTGAGTAGCCATAGCTAATGTTCATACCGAGTTGTCACCACTGTTTACAGGGGAAGGAATATTCACGGTAAGCATTTTGTCCTTACCAGGATTGAGAATGGGACATGTGCATCCCCTGTTGGTCCAGGATTCTGGGTAAATGCTTCTGTTGCTCCGAGCAATTTTCACTTTGCCTGATTTCAGGACCTTCTTCACTTTCACAACAACTTCTGCATGGGTCCCTTTGTCATGAGCTGATAGGATTCTTGCTTTTATCACTGCCAGAAAGCACATCAAGATAGAGAACAACAACAAATTTCTAGATGAATTTTGTGTTATACTGCTAAAAAGGTAGAATTTTAACACCTTGAAAGGAGACATGAAAAAACACTGCAGTTGTACAGGAAGTGCATTCCAATGCTTGTCCATTTCAGTCATGGTTCTAAAATTTGGAGAAGAAAACCTACATTTTTCAATGGAAGTAGCTAACTGATCCTTTCACCATGTTATTTAGCAACTACTTTTTAATTGGCTGATGTCAAATGCTTGGAAATTGTAGGAAAGCACATGTATGTGTATACGTATGTATACACATCCAAGAAGGGTGGAAAAAACAGATCAGCAGCTAACAGTCTGATTTTAAGCGTACTGATTCTAGGCTTTATATTTCGCAGTTTGAAAACTTGTGTTGAACTTTAATACTGGCCTCTCAAAAATTTTGTCATGTGGGAAGGGACTGTCTGCTCTACAGGAAGGAAGTCAAGAAGTTTCCTGTCTGAGAGATGAGAAACCAGGCCTGTGAGAAACTAAAAAAAAGCAGCCTGAGAAAGCAAAAGTTAAAGCTGATAGGAGAAATGCCTCAAACACTTGCAAGACAAAACTATGAGTCACAAGGCACATGGTATGGAGGTCAAAGCTGATAAGGCTGCCCCAATAACACAAGATGCAGCCAGAGGAGGGAGTCCTGTGGAGGCAGAACAGCTCTGCTCTGGTGCACCTGGGCACATTTCAAGAGCCATCTGTCCAGTGAATGACCTTTGCTTCATTATCCATGAAATGCATATTAAAATTAACACCCCTCAGTATGCTAACGAAGGCTGACATGATCATGCTAATTGCATCATCCCATGAAACACCTTACCCTTCCCTGGACATGGGATACGTAGGTATGTGGGTCAACCTAGGGGATGGACCCAAGGAAAGTGGGTCTAAATCAAGACGGGGGGAAGAAAGAGGGGTGAAGGGGCCAGGAGAGTACAGTGAAGCAAAGAAGATGGATGCAAGTGAAGACAATGGCTGCCTCCTGGAACCCTCGCTGGTGGGGTCAGCGCAGAAACCCAGACCCGTGATCTGTATTTCCCCATCCCCTCTATCTCCCTCTTTTCACTTTCCCATTCAGAAATGCAGGGCATATTCTATTGCTAACCACAACTTGCTATATACTTAAGCCAATTATCGTGTGTCCAATTAGTACATTGTGGGTAGTTAATAAATGTTTGGACTTGGAGACTTGTTGTCTGCTCCATTGGGGATTTACGAATCTGAGTCCCTTGTCTCCCTTGTCTGAGCGGGACGTGACACCGTCAGACTGCAGGCATGTCACATGGCTAAAATTCCATGATTGCACAAATAACCAGAAAAGGCATTTTTGTTTTGTGGCCCAACATCTGGTTACCATGATAAATTTCAGTTCCTTTAATAGGATCCCATAACTTTTTGGCAGGGTAGTCTCATCTAGATCAGCCCCACAAGCAGGCTTTGTTGTGTCGTGACACAAGCACATCAAACCTTTGGATCCCAGAGCTTTCCTTTCTTGCTTCATGGGATGGTGTGGACCAGGTGTTCATAAATTACAGTATTAAATACCTTCTTGGTAAATGAACATGGCCATTTGAACTTGCATAATGAGAGCAAAACCAGTGGCAGTTTAGATGCAAGGCTTTTATCGTTTATTCTTGATGTAGAGGCCAACCATTCCCCTGAGTTATAATTCTCACACTCTTTATGCTGTAAAGGGGGAAGCTGACTGGTTGGAGAGGAGACACCATGGAACCTTGCATGAGAAATGCTATTCAGTTCTGATCAGGAGTTGAACACATCACTAGACAAAAAAGGCAGAAGAAATCCTACCTCTTATTTCATGACTTAGCCAGTCCTGTCATTTTGCATAGCTATCAGCTAATAACGTGAATAGAGAGAACACTGTGAAATTATCGTACCTTGAGGGCATCTTACCCACTTACCATAAGCATATTTCATTTGGCAGAAGTCAGCGACGCTTCCAAGCACCTTTTCTTTGCACACACACTTTTCTAGCAGGGCAACCGCAGAATGCAAAGGGTTGGAGAAGAGCCAGGACACGAAGCAAATGGGAAAAAAGCAGCAGCAAATGATACTTGGTTATAAAGTTATAGATATCTAACTCCCATCATTTGGTAGACCTTAAAAGTAAGTTTGAGAGTGAGCTCAATTATTTACACATCTGTTTCTTGTTACATGATACAATAATTGTTCTGAAATCTGATCAGTAATGTCAAGTAAAATGCAGCCCTCATGGGGTCTATTGTACAGTTAATATACTGATACTAATAAAGAGATTTGTAAGAATAAGATCCAGGTGTAAATCATGTAAGTACTAATACCCTTGTTCAATCCCATAAGCTAAGAAATTCTGATCCTTGCTGGTATTAGGGTAATAGCCCTCTCAGGAAAGTCAAGCTCTGCAATAGGTGGCAGTGTTACCTCTGGGTCTTACAAAGCCACGGATGCTGCTCAGTGCCGACCTTCCTGCACGGCGTGCAAAACTGAGAACTAGTTCGGTATTCAAGGCTCCACCTCATTCTGTAAGCCTCCTTTGTACCTTTAGCTGGATACAGTATGCCTGACTTTCTCTCCTGAGCTGTTGTGCCACAAAGAATATCTTACCCTTAAAATCATTTGCATTCCACCCTAGAGGTGGTGCGTTTCAGTGACAGCTGTCGTGATCTTTTTACAAATAGCATTTGAAGTTCTGAACAGCAACTGAACGCCTGAGCAGGAGCTGTGTAAAATCATAAACATTACGACTGTAATTACAACAACAAAAGGAGAGTATTTTTTCCACACAGTCTTATTCATGACTCATCAATTTCCCAAACCGAAGTTGGACAGTACAGGTGGTTTGGAAAATAGCAATGTAAGTGTAATGGTAACCTATATAGTTCTGATTAGCAGATGTTGCCAGCAGATGGGGCCAGGCAAACTAGAGATGAGTGGGGGAATTTACGTTGGGGTGGAGAGAAGAAAGAACTGGCACCGAGTGAAGTTACTAAATGTTCCCAGACTCTGGGCTGTACCTGGGTGCCTCAGGGCAGAAAATCCCTGCTCGTGGTCATTCCATTTCCACTCCTCTTCGCTCTCGTTGCTTGGCATTTGCACAGGGTCAGGGATTCGTCCCCCAATGGGGATGTTAAAGAATGGCTCATTGTCATAGCTGAAGGGACACGGAAAACAGAAGACTTACTTAGGACACGAGATGGGTGGGAAGCAGGTGTTTATAGCACGTGTCTGTATCCACAGATGAGCTTGCTTGCTTCGGGTTGGGAGTGCAAATGAGAGCACAACTTCATGCCATAGGGAGAGATCACAAGATCTAGGCTTTTATTTAGGCCTTACTACTGCTGACCTGGTATTTTTAAAGTAACTACGTATTGGGCCTTTTTTGCTCTTACTTACTTGTTTTTATTAAAAAAAGTAACTCAAAGTTAGTGACTACTTGTTGATGTCACTAGGAACTGAGGACAGCTGCAGGACCCATAAAACTGCAGTCACTCAGCACATCGTAGGATTTCTGCACTGATTAATGCATGTTTGGGGTACAGATGCCTGTCCTCTAAGAACAAGAGGGAGACCTTGTAATTCATTCTACCCTGGGCATAGATGAAAGGCAAGCTCTCCAGACTCCTCCATCTATTTCCAAGGCGAACAGGTGTACGCTATTACATATTTCCATGGGGTTGTGGAGTTGCCTATTATTACTGCAAAAGGTCATCATTGCAAGATTGCCTTGGATAATACGCTGGACTTCAGAGCATGCCAGCCACTGAATGGAATCTAAGAAACCTTTTATGATTTACAGCCACCTGTTCAAACGATTGCGCACCCTCCAGCGTCCTCCAGTTACTTTCAGTGCTGCAATATATCAGTTAATCTTTGTTTCATTTCACAGAATCCCATCTCAAAATGAACCCAAAGGAGGGCTGCTTTACCCATTGAAACAGTTTCCAGTATGCTGGTCGCAGTCTCTGGCACAGTCACAAGGGCGACAGCCATTTTCTCCAAAGCCCCAGTAGCCCATGAGACATCTATCGCAGTTGGGGCCCGCCACACCTGGCTTGCAGTAGCAGAATCCCGTCTTGGGGTGGCATCGCCAGCTTCTGCTGAAAGTTGCGTTGGCTGAACCCATTGGCTGGCAGGCGCAAGCTATGGAGATACGGTAAGAGGTGACTGAGATTATGTGCCCAGGGGTCATCTGGTTAAGTGACATTTTTGCAAGCCCGATAAACTCACGCCCTCTTCCTTACGCTCAGTAGATTTAAGTCAGAACCAGTAAACACGGTGTTGTCAGCCTACATTTGCAATATTATTTTTGTTTCTTTTTAACTCATTACACACAACAAACCAAGTACAACTGGGACCCATTTTTGTGTGAAAGTCAGTTCTTCCCTGCTACACAAATCTTGACTATACGGGGTTTTGAAGCGGTGACAGGAAGTCTCCACTGTGTCTTGATTTTTAAAGGGTGATTCACTTTTAAATGTTTTGCAAAAAAATTTACTAGCATGGGCAAGGTAGAAAATGAAAGCTATTGTCTTTCCTGTGAACACAGAGATCACAAAACTACTGGTTCCTCTGGGGTTAGATACAGCTTATACAGGTGGTTCAGGTGACCTGAAACATTTTTTCGATTTCTGCCTCCAAGGAGTCCAACAAATTTCCTTTAGTAGAAGTTCTAAGGGACATATCTCACCATGAAGTACTGCACGTGTGTAAGGAAGCTGATGAAATTTTTTGTACAGATACATGAGCAGATTTGTTGTAAGGAAGGTAGACAGAATGAGAGAAAATCTCTAAACTCACTAGACATATTTTGCATGTAGATGGAGATGAGCAAACAGGAGGAAGAAAACCCAGATCTTTTTAATGCTATTGCCAGTTTGACACCAGCCTGGCAACTCAAGGCAACATGGCGGTAAAACAGGCAATTAGAGCTCCTGTGGGCAACTCTGCCTTCACAGGCAATGGATTGTCATAATCCCACACCACCAATACGTTCCCAGCGTGGCAGTATCAGGGAGTGGGGTGGAAAGGAATACATAGATAGTGGTGCAAAGCCAACACAGTTGACTCCATCAGGGCAGAGATTAGATGAGATGGTCAAGCCTTGTGCCAACAGCTCTGTAAAGGTAAAATACAAGCAATAAACATACCCACTTCTGATATTCAAACAAGTATGATTAAAATGAGAACTAAGCTGAACTCTAGGCCTTCATATTTCAGTGCTTTTTCATACTAACAAAGCAGCTTTTTCATACTAACAAAGTGGCTTTTGCTTGTAGCAGAGACCAAAATGGAAATGCATCACTACTTCATCCATCTGGAAGAGAGCAGGTCTAAAAATCTTGTGGCTAAGACCTGCTTTAACAGAGATTTTCAGTTAAATATTGAACACCCAAGGTGTTTAGATAGCTTGGATCGGGGGCCAGCCTTTTGGATGCGTATCTGAACCAGACATGATCTCCAGAGCTTTTGAAGTTTGCCCATCATTGCTTCTAATCAAACTACTTTTCTTCATGGGCTCATGGATAAGATACCAAATGAACACTCTGATTCCACACATCATTTTCCAAGGGGAAGGGCAAAGTATATGGCTATGAAGTGTAGCAGGGACAGAATCACTTTTCATCTGCAACCTCATATTTGATGGTCAAGAAAAGAAAATGTCTTCTGAAAATAGCACAAGAAAAAGGCTGAGCAATTTTGTTTTAAGGGCATTTCTCTTACGATCTGCTTACTACGTAGTTATTTTTTTTCTCCATGCCCTATGTTCTTTATGCCAGTATTTTTAATAATATTATTACACTCTGCTGTAGACGGATCTCCGTCCGTTGTTTTCAAGGGACACTAGCACAATAGCCTAAGGACAGAAAATAAGCGTGCTGTCATGGGCAATGTACTCAACACAATGAGCTGGTTGGCGGATGGCAGCAGGCTCGCCTGTTTGCCACAAAGCAGTCTTGACTTTGGGAGCAAACCCAGGGATTTTGCTGTCAGTTCTGGAGAGCAGGTGTAACAATGAAGTGCTCATTAGCACTGACAGTTTCAAAGGCAAGTTCTGATTTGTTGCTGCTCAGCTTGAATTATTTTCGCCCAGATTTTTGTAGGGCTGACTACATCACCCTAAAAGAGGAGACACTTAGTTCTACCTGTCAGTGAAAAAAAATGGATGTAATAGATTTGGGGATAAGGATGGGAAACACACGCTTCCTTTACTGCAGACAGGTCTGAGCCATAAGAACTAAGAGGTTGCCAACATCTGGTTTGGCTTGAATCCAGGTTTCTGATTTCACTGTAATATCTCCATATGTAGGATCTACCTGTGGAGTTTTCACCTTAAATTTCTTACATTTCTGCAACATCTGGGTCCATCTTTATTCCCATTTTATTTCTGGTTTTCAGGTTTCATCAGTTAGGGTCACATAACAGATGGGCAAATCATTAGCATCATTAGACTACCTATCACCAACTGAGACTAGATCCTGGTTCAGGAAGATGAGACCTTCTCCCATCCTATCCCTAAGGGAAAGTATTACAGGACAATGACTGACAGCATCGGCAGAAGCTGAGGAGGAGGTAGGAAAAAAGTGCCTTTTTTTTTTTTTCTCCTCATTTTGGGGCTACAGTTCAGTAAAACTAATGTTCTCAAATGAGCTGTGAGACATATTCCCCAATTAGAAAGTGGGGCAGCTTCTGGTGGATCAGAAAGCAAGCTGAATCAATACATGTACAACACTTTCAGATGAGTTATACAAGTGGCTTGCGAACGCTTTACTCAGTCTGTGTTTGTTTAGCATTTCAGCTTGGGTGTGTACATTGTCTGGCTTCCAGAGTATTACGGCCAAAATCCCAGTTGCGCATCTAAGGTAACTCCCAAAATAAGAGCCCACATGTCACATGCTGAAAGGGCAGCTGTTGATGACTGGGTTTTATCTGTTTAATAGTACCCCAGATTTGCAGATAAACCTCATAATTAAAGAAGCATAAAAGCAAGTTTCTAAAACCTCACCCTTTTACATTTCCCAATATTTGACAACACAGCATCTTTCCCTGCTGATTTTTGCTTCTTTTCTCTTGGCAAACCCTAGTTTTCTCTCTATCCGCCTCCCTGTCTAACAAAACACCAGCCGACATGACAATGGCCTTGTTTGTCAAAGGCATCATCAATTATGTTAGGGACGGTGTGCAGACAGTTTTGGCTCAGAGATGGCTGGTTTATTTGGGTTCTCCCCTTGACAGCAGTGTAATGAAAAATTTCATTATTGTACTTTAGAATTGGCTATCAGTCATGAAACATCACAAAGCATCCTCTTGCCTTTTAGTCTCACTCCTATACTAAGTTTGTTTTGTCAGAACCTACTGTAAAAAGGAGGAGACAAAGAATAATGATAAATGAATAATTCATACAGCAGTCTCCACTCAAGTCCTCAATAAATCTGTCTGCCCTCAGCACAGCTGTCTTTCCCATGTAATTAGACACAGTTGTAAAATATAGTATTGGTTGTAACAGTACAGTCCCAACTTACAGGAAAATAGCAAGTGCTCCAAGTAATTCAGTGGACTTTGACAGATCTTGCCTTAAACTTCTGTCTAATAATGCTGCATAAGATACAGCTATGAGAACTCTGGCTATTTGATGAAAAACAGGCAAAACGAAAAATCAAACAAAGCCTTTTGAATCTGAAATATATACATGTGCATCTTTGGAGCATATGACTGAATCAGGGCAATTTTTGAAGCATGTCAGATGTGGGGATTGACTCAGCCGATGATGTTTCTTAAATGAAGGAAATAAGATAGACAGCTGTGTGTGTGGTCAGGGCTGATTAAGACAGACTTTGAACCAAGATGTGATCAGGCCTTTGTGATATTACAATTAAAAGTTCACTCCCTCTGCTCTAAAGTAAAAGGACGAGAAGCAGAGCTTTTCAGAGTGTGTGTTTGTGCATGTGCATCTGGGCACATTTTAATTTTTAACCCTTCTGCTTAGAGTAAAAAAAGCTTGTTTTCCTGGAGACCCATTTAAATGGCTCTACATGCCTGCATTGTTTTTTAAGCTAAGCAAAGGGTGAGTACAAAAGAGGGTGCCATTTCAGAAGGATCCCTTAAGCCTTCAAATAAGCCACAGGAAAGAGCCAAGGATACGGCAGCTTTTCTAACCATTGGTTAGGAAACGATTAGGCTTCCGAGTCAAAGCTCCCATACAAGTCTATATCCAAACTACTTAATCCTGTGTTGTCACCCCCAATAACAGGCAGGTGTGTGCCTCGCTCTTTTCATGCCTTCCTTTTTTTTTTATAATATAGATCTAAGTAGTGTCAAAACAAGGCTCTGCACACAACCTGGCTCTCATTCATCCCCAGCTGCTAGGAACAGGAGAAGCAAAGGGATCAGAGGCAGCTACCTCTGCAGACAAAAAGAAATAGCAGATTCACACTTACATGTCAAATTTCAACAGATTTTTTTTTGTTTTTTTCCAAGGGAATGTCTTTGCAGTCTCACATTGGAGGGTCAGCAAAGGGTGGTTTGGATAGTGCCAGGACATCCAATTGTTATACAACTCTTTTTTTCTAGCAGTGATTAAGAGAGAATGCTGTTCATTATTATGACTAATGCTTAAAGACTCTTTCTGGGCCTGGGCAGTGTCCTGTTAACTTTCTGGGAGCCTGAGGGGGATGTCACAGCTGAACATAGACTTTGCTCTGGATGGCAGAGCACTCTTCAAGCGTGCTTTCTCAAAGGGATTAGCACAGCATTTCATTCAGCTTTTTCATCAGATTTCCTTTCCCAGCTCAGTATCTACTGTACACAAGGGTCAAGTTTTGATCTCCCATTGAGGTTTTTTTTTTCCTCTGAGTTCAAATGGGAAGCTGAGGACCAGGTTGCTCTCACCAAAATCATCCATTTGCAGTTTATTACTGCTTTTCAGCACTTGCCCAGTGGGTGGGTTTTTCATTTAGTGTTGTTAGTCTGGCACTGTTTCCTCAAAGTGAGATGATGCCTTGGAATTGGTACATTTAAATCCTCACAAACATGCTAATCCAGAAGTGGCAGCTCTTCAATTTATGATCAGCAGGCTGAGGTATGGGAGAAATGCACCTGGTGGTCTAGTGTCTTACATATTAATAACGCTCAAAACAGTAACTGTTTTTTTACTGAGTAACCAGGGTTAGTTTTAGGGTCACACAACCTGAACAATTTACACCAGATTACATTTAACAGCAGTGCAAGTTTTGCAACCTAAAGGATGGAGAAGAGGGTCTCTATCTTACATCCTGCAAGAGGCTTTTCAGTTTAATATCAGCTCGAGGCATAAGGAGCTGATGACGGTTCTGCAGACAAAATCTTCCTCTGTCAAACTGAGTCTGTTCTAACCAAAACAGCTCTGCTTGTCTGCACTGGTGTTTCTGGTTTTGCTGTCACTGATAATAACCAGGGTAGTGAAACACTCCCTGAAAATTCTCAGAGGTACAGCACAGATGAAGTGCACACTTACACACTGCCTGCAGACCACATGGGGAAGTGTTCTGGGATCAGTTCTTTCATCATACAAAACACTACCCTATGAAGGTAATTTGTCAAATGTCATTGTGGGAATTCTCCTCCTCACCTTAAATAAAAGCACAGACTAACCACCCCACTCCCAGGTTTCTCTTAACTGTGAAAGATCCCACTGACCTGAATCATGCACAGATAGGGTCATGCCTACCTATATGCAGTAATGCTGGGTTAAACCCATTAGATTCATCTCAACCAACAGAAACTCAGGTGCAGGCTAGCGATCCAGAACCCCTCTTAAGTCAAGGAAGAGATATAGATATCCTCTAGACGGCAATTCATCTCATCTGTGCTGGGCATCTACATTAGACTGCATTAAATCATTCCCTAGAGGTCCCACTGTTTCTCCACTGACTACAGGGAGTCTAGAAAAGACAGGCAACTTTCAGGTGGCTAAAGTGGGATGGCAGCTACCTAGGCCTGAGTGTGCAAGTCAGAGTGGAAACAATTCCATGTGGGGGCCTTCTGCTGGCAGCAGCATGTTCCCAGGTGAAAAGAACATCATTGTGCTGGAGTGGCACGATAGGAATAAAGCTCTTTCACAGTAAATTCCTGAGCAGTTTTTCTTTTGCTATGCAGAGTATTGGCAGGAGGTACTGAGAGGCCTGTAACCAGACCAGACAAAAGACACAGAGGTAGAGTCAAGGTCTAATTTCATCCAGGCAGACTGTTCTAGGGTTTCCACACAGATAGGCTGTATTTTCAAACAATGTTTTTTCCTCTTCACTGCTCTCTAGTGCTCCTTGACTTTAGTGGTTATCTAAAATTACACATGATGTTGGTTACTACACCATCACCCTGCTGTTAGATACAAGACTTCATACACGGATTCTTTCAGGTCCTATGAGATTGAAAATTAATATTCTGGCATAACAATTTATTCTCATTACAGTATTTCCCTGTAGCAAATCTGCTTAGAGTAGAAACAAGACTAGAAAGGGGCAAATGTAGAACACTATGGAATACAGGGTGAGGTAGATAAGCTGATCAGTGTTCTGTGATGAACGTTGTGAAATCAAAAAGAAGGGGTTGTGTGGAAGCAGTCTGCACTGGCCCGAAGATCCAGTGGAAAGAATAACAAAGAGCAGAAGCATAGGGTGTGTCACGCACAGAAAGTTTAAGCACTATCACAGGCCATGCAGGCCTAGGGAGAAGAGTGTGTGTAACCTGAGTGTTTGAAGAGAGACCTTGATGAAGAACATCAAAGAGTCAGGAAAGCTTCAAAAGCACAGGATGCCAGTGGGCATGAGTGTAGATGACAGAGGATGAAGTTCTCTGTGCTGGCAACTGATGTCTGAGCTGTGGGGAGGGAAAACTATCCAAAGGGAGAAATTAAATTATGTAGCAACCTCCCAAGTAGATGCCAGATGGAATCAGATGTGTGAAGCCTGGCAGGATACTCAGGAAATGTTTACCCTATAAGTAAGGAAGATTTGTGCTATGTTCCAGACTGGCTGGGTGCAAACTACCTTGATCCAGAGGTTGTACACAGAGGGTGTACAACCATTAGTGCCTCTATGCCCCAGTTACTTCCTAACACATCCTGCTGAAGTGCTAATGAGGCAATTAATTTGGGCAGAGCACCCCATAATACAGCTGTAGAATCCAGAGATAAATCTGAGTAAGCTCTGATCTGTGTGTTCCCAAGTGGATATGCAGCTCCTGCAGCCATTATTATATATATTTATGTGCACAGATGTTGCACAATCAAATGGAATTTAACAATAGCCTACACATAGGCACACAGTCTTGAGAGATGCAGAAAAAAAAAAAGCAGCTAAATAAAATGTACCTCAAGAAAAAAAGTACCATAGTATTTCGAATGCAAGCACAAGAAGAATGTAGCTTTCCCCAGAATGCAATGCATTTGGAGAACTCTAGCAGTTATCACCAAAAAAAAATGTGTGATACCAGGAGGAGAATTAGACACATAAAATCAGGAATATGACCTTTTATCAGAAAACTCTAATTTAGGAACAGAATACAAAGAAAGGGTAGTAATATTCATGAGTTACTTCTACAGGAGTTATTGATTCTATAGGAGTTATCAAGTTCTTTCTTTTAATCATTCTTTTAATGATTTTTTCCCCGTTACATAACAGTAGTCACTTACGTTTGCAGACCTCTGTAGAAGACATGGGTTTCCCTCTGTCTCGGTAGTACCCTGGTTTGCACCTTTGACACCGATGTCCCTCTGTGTTATGTTTGCAGTTGTCACAGACCCCACCGCTGCGCTTTCCCGATGCCAGCCAGACACTCAGGTCAAAATGGCAGCTGTCAGCATGGTTGTGGCAGCGACACTCTGGTGGGAAACAGAAGATATTTCAGGCTTATACAGTAAACAAAAATACTATTCATTTTCCTACTGTAAATCGTGGCGGAAATATCTGAATGTAACACACTTCCTCTGCCTGCAATCCTTGATTTTCATAAAAACTAGAAATTGCAGCACAGGGTGAGAGTCCCAGGAGGGTCTGAGAAGCTTGGGTGGTTGGGAGCTGTGTGGTATTCTTACAGTAAGACAAACCAGTCTGAACGGTATCATTAAGCCCTGCACAAACCCCTGGGACACTAAAACAGGTGAGGGGATGTAGCTGCCTGAAGAACAGATTTCTGCCTTGCAAATGCCACTTCCCAATAGCCCAGACAGGCCAGCTGCAGTAGAACAACATGCAGACTGAAGTTTTCCATCAGTGACCACCAACTTATCCCCAGTTGCTGTAATGGTACCATTAGTGTAAACTGACAGACGTCTTTGTTAGGGGACTTTGCCTGCTGGCACCGTGAGCGCTCATCCTGAAAGCCTGGATTTGTAAACTCCCTCCCACTTACTTCTGCATTCATTTGGTGCCCCCGTTTTTCCATCTCCTGGCTTCCAAGGCTGATCATTGTATAGCGGTGCACATTTGTCACAGTGGTCCCCTGCTGTGTTGTGCCTACACACACACTTCCCATGGACCTGTCAGGGGAAAGAGAATACATTCAGACAGTTACAAGCAAGAATATAGTGGAGTGCCCAACAGCCTCGTGAGGAGGTGGGACTTCTGCACAACTCCCACACAGCTCTCGGGCTCTCTTAAGAAACCCACAGAGCCTGGAGCTTAAATGTGTAGCTTTATCTCTTCACACAGTCACTAACAATGTAGATTTTTCCTCTATCTTCCAGTTTAAATACATGTGGCAACAATTTCTTTTTAACTTTCCAGTTGGCTATTTTCCTACCACACTGATGAGCCTCTAGAATTGTGTCACAGTCTTAACAGAGGATGCTGGACCCTGTCTTATTTGACATTAACAGTGGTCTGGAAAAGAAAGTAAAGATAGGGCAATGAAAGCACCATGAGTTACTAAATTATGAGCAAGTAATCCTGCACCTCCTAGCACAGTTGAAATTGCAGCAAAAATATTAAACCTGGAAAAATACCAACCAGTATAACCTCAGAAATACAATCCCTATCACATTCTGTGAGAGGAAAGCCCTGGTGTTTGAAGAGACTTAGGTACAGTAAGCACTAAGCTACCAATCTACATATGAATATATATATTTTAAAAATAAGTTAGTAGTAAAGGCCCAGTAAAATTCTGGTCTGTGTAACTAAGAGCACTTTAACTCCAGGTGGAGAGGAAATTGTGCCTGCAATGCTGAGTTCAGTTTTGAACATCTTATCAGATAAATGAGAAATTGGAAGATGTTCAACAACAATGAGCAAAACCTGGCATGGCTGAAGACTGGGTCTGATCTACAAGCTCTAAGCATATAAATCCTCCTAAGGTATGAAACAAAAATTTACAAAATATTTGAGGGCAAAACAAAGAAAGAAGTGCAAAAATCTTGACTAAAACTGGCTAAATAGTAGAGGTCTCTCTGTGGCTATTTGCTTTAAAACTTACTTGAAAAAAGAACTTGCTTCCTCTGTACTTACCTGCTTTCACTGGAAGACAATAATGATTTTTAGTCATGGAAATGTTCTAATATATGTCAGTTCTGGAATCAGGTATTCACACCAGAAACCTGTCCTTAGAAACTGAGCCGGTCCAGCTTTCAAACCGAAAGTTACTCCTGAAACTGGTTCTGTTCTAAAGTAATTTCACACATCAGGAATATAATAGCCAGTTCCACTGTAGACTGTGATTTGGGGCACAGGATTCTCTAATATCAAACCACGTCGATGAAGTGCTTTACAAGAGGGCTTTTTATGTTATCGTTTTTGATTTTTGGGGTTGTTTGTTGTTGTTGTTTTGGGTTTTTTTTAATTTTAATTAAGAAATAGGATTCCAATATCTGTTTGCAATGCCTCAGAGAAAGGATTTCCCCAGAATAAATATTTAGCATAGGGAGTGAGAGGAAGGGCAGGGCAGTGCTATAAGTCAGGTTTCTACACTCAAGAGAAGCTGCTAGTTAGTGGTATGTATTTCACATGCAAGGAGACACTTGTACTAGAGCAGGAAATGCACAGAGATCCGGGACTAGACCCCTCTCCCTCCATGTGCTGTTGAGGATGCTAGGCTCTGTCACCATGTCACAGCTCCGGCCCACTGCATGTTACACAAAAAGCAGAGGCTGAAATTTCATTTTGACTGGGGTGTGAATTGAATGTAATCCTTTAATCTCACCACTAATGTGAGTTATGTTTCTCCACAGTCCTTCCTGAAAGTCAGACTCTCCCTTTGCACTCCCCCCTTCCCCCATCTCATGTAGCAGGTAGCTTGGGATCAAGAGAAGAGATGTTCAAAAGAGCAGTTGTGTGAACGCGTTCCCCTGCCCCCAAAACTCATCTCCCTGCAGCAATTTGCTCTCCGCTCCCCTGGTTTCTAATCCTCCCAGAGCAGATATGTCATGCAGCTAGCACAGGGGATAGGCTGCAGCTGATGCCATTGCCCCTCTATGGCCAGCTGGCAGATTTGCTGCTGCACAGAGCGGTTGGCTGCCTCCTCACGGAAGACTGAGCACAGACTTCAGGGTATGCATTTCTGTCAGAGCTCAGCACCAGCAAACCTCAGGAGAATACAGCATGTAGCACATTATGGGGTGCCTCTCCAGAGCTCCGTACAAGACAGCCATCCATGTCCAACGTGTTAGATGGGATGACAAATTACAGAAACAAAGACAAAAATACTAATAAGCAACAGCGTTGGGCTTCTCCCTGTTTGGGTTTGGCTTTTCAGGCTTATACATCCCCCCCTGTGGACACAGTGACTGCTTTTCAGAAGCTATGGAACAGAGAAAACCACCAGGAGTGAGAAAATATAAAAGTGAGCCTGACCCAGAACCATAGGTTTTAATATCCCCAAGCTCCAGACTATCTGAACTTCACAGCTCATTCCAAACCAGATCAGAATCAAAACCTTAGATCCTGTCATTTCACAGGAAAATGCTAGTGTATTCCAATGCAAAATTTGTAAAGTTGACCCACTGGCTTTTTGAGAGATATCTACAGAAACTGTGCATTCACTATATATAAAAAATTATATGAAATAAATGCTGAGATGGTATAGTTGGGAGATGGCAGAATTAAACCATACAATCTTGTTTTAGCCTTGAACAACATGATCAAATATTCATTATTCCACAGGACCCTGTGCTTACAGTGCACAGCACAGATGGTGTGAACACTCATGAACAATAATTCAGAAAGCAAACAGAACAGTTCAGTGAGAAAGTAGGAGTCCAGTTGTTCTTTGGAGGTAAGTAGACATGTCAGTTTGCTCATTGCCCGCTGGTTTGCTGCAAACTCTAGTTTGTGGAGGCTATCTAGGAATGGCATGTTGTGAGTAGGACAGAGGCATAAAGAAAGCTTCCTGCCTGTGATCCCTGCTATTGAACAGTTTACCAAATACATGTGGAAGGATGACTGGCTTAGACAAAAGGGTTGAAAAGCCAAGCAGCCAGCAGACAGGAGAGCCACAGAGCAGGCAGAAGTAAGCAGTGGAGCTGACATGGAGCTTTTTTTAGAAAGTGTTAGGTCTGAGGACTGACCTTTTTTGTATAGGTTTAAGAACAAGGAAAAGAGAATTGATGGGTATTGGGGCAAAGGTAAGGGATAACGGAAGAGGAAGCAAGTCTGTGAAGTGTCCCATCTTGGATGGGTATCTCATGGAAGATTTTTTCCATGGAGAGTAATCTCAGACAGCATCCAAAGGTGAAAACAGCTAAGGAGGAGAGTGCAACATGAGGTGACAATGAAGTACAGGAAGGAGTTAGATAGGAGAAGAGAACAGAGACAAACAGCTCAAGTAGAACACACACAAGAAAGGTGATTCATGGATACAAGTGGCCATTGCAGAAAGACTGGTTAAAGCAGGAGAAACAGCTGTGGAAGATGCCCGTTACACTTAAGCATGGGGTGAAATAAGGGTAGGTGAGTGTCTGCAAGCGGTGAGACAAACAATTTGTTCTCTTAGAGAGGAAGAAATAGGAGAGGCAGACAGAGACTAAAGTCCAGGAAGGAACAAGAATAAAATACAGGAAGCTGTCAGATAAAATAGGAAATGGGATATCTGCTCAGGGAAGGGAGAATGCGAGAGTGGCACTCAACATCAACACAGAGAGCAGGCACGTCCCTGACTTGTTATTAACTGCTGAAATAAGTACACATCTCTCTCACAAACATTCGTCATAAAAACTAGAAAATTGTGTTCTCTAGCAAATGCAAGACCTCAGAATGCACCAGATCTCAGTGGAACACAGAGATGATTGTGCCAAGGCAGAGAAAATAGTCAGAAAAATAGATTCAGGGGGATAACACTGATATTTTTCTATGCCCTAGAAAGCAGGGTCAGAGTTGCAAGGAGATAATAATAATTAAGGAGATGGTTGTCAGGGAATAGCAAGGACCAGTTGCTCTTTAAGGGTTGAAGAGCTCTAAACTGAGGGTGACCACAGCACAGACTGTGCCCTCACTGAGGGGCCACCATCCTGAGCACAGCAGGGACCTGGTCCCATGGTCCCTCGGCAGCCCCAGACACAGCGAGGGGATGGACCAGGGGCAATTCAGGAGGAGACAAGCCCAGAAACAAGCTCACAACATGGGTTCAAAGCCCACCCAGGAGTCAGAATGAGAGGTGAGCTACAACACATGTGAGGAGGGTCCATGAGGGGGGAAGCTACCTACAGCATAAGGCCCAAGGTCCTTCCAGGAGGCAGGGCCAGAGGCAGGGGTGCAGACAAACACCTCTACAGCAGAACTCAAATGGGGACCAATAGCCCAGGGCTGAGCTTAAGTGGACCCCCCCAGCCAATGGACAGAGAGGGATGTCCCAGGTGGGGCTGCTCAGGGCTGATAAAATCCTTTTAGTGCGTTCAGGACGCTGATACTAGCACTTTGATTGCTACTGAATTCATGTCATTGGAAACTTTAGGATATCTGACTACTAGGAGGCATCTGAGGGAAAAAATACTTCAACTTTTGAAATTTAGAGCTGGCAATCCGGGTGGAGGGAGCTCAAGCAGGAGGTGAGGAACAGAGGCTTACATGAGATTCATGCCATCAATTAGGAAACCTAACCAGTTTTCAGCTAAAGCCCAATTAGTTTATGACATGAATTTATATTAATACATATAAATGTACTGGCACAGCAGGAGAAAGATTGAGATCTAGGAGATTTCTGTCTCACATCTCTCATATTTCACTTTATCCTCAGTGTTCAACACATGACACTACATCACTTGACAGAAACTGATCCTTAGATACAGACGTATTTAAGCCTGTATGGGCTTTTCCACAGTGCTCATTGCTGCAATAATTGAGTACCACAGAAATATTACGGAATTTATGAGGCCTCCCTTCATCTGCTTTTCCTCATTACTGTGATAACTCTGGTTGTCTCCAAGGATCCTTCCTATTAATTGGAGCATCATCGTATTGAAAGTTCAGTGGCTCTGACAGATTGTTTTGAAACTGGATGGTGCCTTCCAAAGTTATTTTGGGGAATGGATCAGAAAATAGATACGCTGGCAGA